CAATAGCCTTGATTTAAAAAAAAAATACTCTTTTTTCACTGTTATAGATTGAATAGCAGTCAGTGTCCTTAAAGCGGGTGTGTTACGCTAACAGTGGATACGCTGACAAGTGCCACTAATTAGATCCTGTGTCACAATAGTTTGGATTTAAAAAAAAAATAATCTTTTTTTACTGTTATAGATTGAATAGCAAGCCGCGTCCTTAAAGCGTGGTGTAGTGTTACGCTAATAGTGGAGCATACGGACAAGTGCTACTAATTAGATCTGGTGTCAAGCAATAGTTTGGATTTGGGAAAACAAAAACTTTTTTTTACTGTTATAGACGAATATGAGCCAGTGTCCTTAAAGTTGCAAGTACAATGCGGATACGGACAAGTGCCACTTAATTAGATCTTGGTGTCACATTGTGTTTGGATTTTAAAACAAAAACTTTTTAACTGTTATGATTGAATAGCAGTCAGTGTCCTTAAAGCGGGTGTGTTACGCTAACAGTGATTACTGCTAATGCGCCATACCTAATTAGATCTAAGTCAGCTAAATAGTTTGATTTAAAAAAAAAAATAATCTTTTTTCACTGTTATAGATTGAATAGCAGTCAGTGTCCTTAAAGCGGGTGTGTTACGCTAACAGTGGATACGCTGACAAGTGCCACTAATTAGATCCTGTGTCACAATAGTTTGGATTTAAAAAAAATAATAATCTTTTTTCACTGTTATAGATTGAATAGCAGTCAGTGTCCTTAAAGCGGGTGTGTTACGCTAACAGTGGATACGCTGACAAGCGCCACCAATTAGATCTGGTGACACAAAGCTTGGATTTAAAAAAACAAAACACTTTTTTCACTGTTATAGATTGAATAGCAGTCAGTGTCCTTAAAGCGGGTGTGTTACGCTAACAGTGGATACGGTGACCAGTGCCACCACTTAGATCTGGTGCCACAATAGCTTGGATTTAAAAACAAAAAACTTTTTTCACTGTTATAGATTGAATAGCAGTCAGTGTCCTTAAAGCGGGTGTGTTACGCTAACAGTGGATACGGGTGACCAGTGCCACCACTTAGATCTGGTGACACAAAGCTTGTATTTAAAAAAAAAAAAACTTTTTTCACTGTTATAGATTGAATAGCAGTCAGTGTCCTTAAAGCGGGTGTGTTACGCTAACAGTGGATACGCTGACAAGCGCCACCAATTAGATCTGGTGACACAAAGCTTGGATTTAAAAAAACAAAACACTTTTTTCACTGTTATAGATTGAATAGCAGTCAGTGTCCTTAAAGCGGGTGTGTTACGCTAACAGTGGATACGGTGACCAGTGCCACCACTTAGATCTGGTGCCACAATAGCTTGGATTTAAAAACAAAAAACTTTTTTCACTGTTATAGATTGAATAGCAGCTCGCGTCCTTAAAGCTGGTGTGTTACGCTTTAACAGTGGATACGCTGGACAAGCGCCATCAATTAGATCTGGTGTCACAATAGCTTGATTTAAAAACAAAAAAAACTCTTTTTTACTCGTTATAGATTGAATAGCAAGCAGTCAGTGTCCTTTAAAGCTGGGTGTGTTACGCTAACAGTGGATACGCTGACAAGTGCCACTACTTAGCTCCTGTGTCACAATAGCTTGGATTTAAAAACAAAAAACTTTTTTTACTGTTATAGATTGAATAGCAGTCAGTGTCCTTAAAGCGGGTGTGTTACAATAACAGTGGATACGCTGACCAGTGCCACTAATTAGATCTGGTGTCACAATAGTTTGGATTTAAAAAAAAAATAATCTTTTTTCACTGTTATAGATTGAATAGCAGTCAGTGTCCTTAAAGCGTGCGTGTTACGCTAACAGTGGATACGCTGACAAGTGCCACTAATTAGATCTGGTGTCACAATAGTTTGGATTTAAAAAAAAAATAATCTTTTTTCACTGTTATAGATTGAATAGCAGAAAGTGTCCTTAAAGCGGGTGTGTTACGCTAACAGTGGATACGCTGACAAGTGCCACTAATTAGATCTGGTGTCACAATAGCTTGGATTTAAAAAAAATAATAATCTTTTTTCACTGTTATAGATTGAATAGCAGTCAGTGTCCTTAAAGCGTGCGTGTTACGCTAACAGTGGATACGCTGACAAGTGCCACTAATTAGATCTGGTGTCACAATAGTTTGGATTTAAAAAAAAAATAATCTTTTTTCACTGTTATAGATTGAATAGCAGAAAGTGTCCTTAAAGCGGGTGTGTTACGCTAACAGTGGATACGCTGACAAGTGCCACTAATTAGATCTGGTGTCACAATAGCTTGGATTTAAAAACAAAAAACTTTTTTTTACTGTTATAGATTGAATAGCAGTCAGTGTCCTTAAAGCGGGTGTGTTACGCTAACAGTGGATACGTTGACAAGTGCCACTAATTATATCCTGTGTCACAATAGCTTGGATTTAAAAACAAAAAACTTTTTTTACTGTTATAGATTGAATAGCAGTCAGTGTCCTTAAAGCGGGTGTGTTACGCTAACAGCGGATACGCTGACAAGTGCCACTAATTAGATCTGGTGTCACAATAGTTTGGATTTAAAAAAAAAATAATCTTTTTTCACTGTTAAAGATTAAATAGCAGTCAGTGTCCT